ACTGCTGTAGCTGAACCCAGGACAACTACACTTAGAATTTTGTGGCAAATTCTTATTTGAAAAATTTTCTGTCCTCCATAGAAGAAAATTTCCTGCAGTGCTCCCATTCCATCTGAAGAATTCGAACATATATACTTGCTTTTTCACACTTCCATTTCAATATTTGGTCTTGCCCCTTTTTGCACTGCCCCAGCTCTTGACACTTTCATATATTAACACAAAGGCTTCATCCAAAAAGTAACCTAATGTGAATAAATTCTTGTGGTTGTAAAAACACTGTGGTATTGAAAGCTAAGCCTCATCCCTGCTAACACCATAAACTCTCTTCCTTCTGTTGCAAGCCGCAGCTGTTAGCCCGTGGGCTCTGTTGTCTTTCCTGCAATCCCCACTTCCTGGTGCTCAGTAGCCAAAGGACTAGTATTAAGCAAAGCATTTCAAAGTCTTGTCTGTAGATCTCTGGATCCCATAACTGCAAAAGCTGATGAGAAAGTTCAATCACCACTGAACAGCAGGTCACCTACCAGAAATGACTCTTTGTTTTCTGTCTTTCCAATTGGAGTTCCAAGAGATGTTAAATTCAAATGACTTTAGAGAGACTTCCAATCTTTTGTTTTTAAACCCCATCAAAACAAGGACTTCAAGGAGCCCAATCCCCAAACCACTATTCCACATTTATGTTCTTGTTTGTTTCTTTTCTTCTGAAAAAAAAAAAAAAAATTTTTTTTTTTTTAAATCTTAATTTCACCACTTTTGTGCACTTACCTGTGTAATTTAGGGGGAGTGGGGGGTAGGTTCATGTTCCTTTATTGTTCTTTCATAGTCGTTTTCCCTCACAGCTCCTCCTTTACAATTGGATATTCTTTGCCCTTACCCCTGGTGATGTTGCTTGCTGTGTGCTATGTAATTCACATTCCATACAGATTTACATTTAGCCCACATTTCTAGTAAGACACTGATGCTTTGATGCAGTTACTCTGTATGCTGGGATGTATATGGATGGAGGAAGAAGACAAGATACCAGGAAGACATGCCTGGATTTTTCATTGGATCCGAGTGTACCAATGTTAATCTGATTTACTTTTGGTTCAACTTCTAAGTGTCTTTACATACATTGTCATCTATTTCAGGTTGGGTTTTTTTTTAACTATTAAAACAGACATTTAATGTTGCAGAACCGTAAATCACATACCTGGTCAAGAAACTGAGCAAGGGAAACATGGCTCTTGTTTCCATTCAGGAAGTTGCTAGTAATGGCTAAAAGTCATTGCTGCCCAGGATGCTCAGCTTTCAGAAACTGGAGTCTTGTGGTGCTGTAAGTTCAGGACACAGTGACCTCAATATTCCATCCATCAGCCAGCTATTCATAGGCCTCAGCGTTTGCCAGGGTAAGTACCTAAAGGACCAAGTCCCATCTCTGTGACTTCTATCTCTCTATAGAAAGGCTACTAATGAGACACAGATATTTTCAACTGTCTGTGCACTAATTCCTTTCTATACAGTGATCTTTAGTATTGCCAAATACATAATTTTTAATAACTAACTAGAATTATTTCTATGAATTATATTTAGAAAGAGAATTAAATATGTATGTTTCAATCCAAGAAGTATAAAAACATTAATTTGGAGCATTTTGTTGGATGAAAGCTACTGACAACAAAGTTTAAAACCTAGGAACTAAAAGTCAAGTACAAGAAAACCTCAATATTTGGAAAATCTTTATTAACTTTTTAACACCATAGTCAAGAATGAAAAGTGAAATGATGCATACGCAGGGTTTTCTGGCAGGGATTTTGGGCAAGGGATGTGGTGAAATTGATACAGTTTACACCAAAGTTCAAAACATTCTTATTTATTACTTTAAAAAGACTTATTTAGAAAAAATGTATGATATCAATATCTGAGTTAAGAAAAAATTAAAATAAAAACATTTCATTCCAATGTTTTCATACACTATATACAAGAAAAGCAAAAATGATTGCCTTCAATTTAACCCCTAACTTCTGAAATCATTTGGATAGGGCCAGTGTCTAAATTTTTATAATATTAATTTAATACCCTGTTCTAACTATTGTTTGTTTATGTATTAATTCACAGATTCAGTCAAGCTTTCATAAGAGTACTGCTTCTCTGTAAGCTGCTTGTTCAATTCCAAAATTGTTTTTTATACATTCTTGAAAGGAAATATCCTCTAACCACTTTCAATATTGATTCTCTCCATATACCAATCAAGAAATCAATCAAGAAATCTCCTCGTTTATGACATATAAACCCAGTATAATTTTTTAGAGTACCAGAAAATTATCAGAAAAATATTCAGATGAAATGACAAATTGCATAATCAAAACAGGCCTGAAAAAAAATAAAATAAAATGTCATCTACTATCAAAATAATAATCTACTTACATGTATTCCATCTTGCTTCTGAACTTCCTTAAAAACCAGCTGTTTTAAATATTAAGCAATTTTGCTCTAACAGAAAGCATCTGATTTGACAGCGATTTCTACATTAACAGTCCTTGGAGAAACATATCCTGCATTTGTCCTACAGACTTCTGAATGCAAAGTAAAACCACTGAGTAATTTTTCTAGCTCAGTAGTATTTTTAAGCCACAGTATCACTAGATCAGTTCTGCAACTCTAAATTTAGTCATATAATCTGATTATGTAAAACAGTAAAGGCAGATCTGGGCAGTGTAATCTGACAGAAAATTGAGCCAGGTATGTGAGAGCCTTTGAAAACACAGACCCAGCTAATAAACATGCTAACAGCTCTGATACCCAGTAGGACCACCTTAAAAATCGTTATGTTCAAGCAAATGTCAATATTCATTTTATAATTTTACCTTACTTTCATTGCTTGACTTTAATTTTTGTGATAATCATTACAAAGTCACATTCATATCTCCATCAAAATTCACAGTAACTGGTGCACAGAGCAATTACCTTATTGTGATTATCAGTAAGAGTTCTGTCCAAAAGTATGTACTGGTACAAAATCAAATTAGTCTAAAAACTGACAACCTTCCCATCAAACTGGCCAAGAACAGTAACATACGCTTGCACAAAGTTGTCTGAGAGGAAGTTTACTGAAGAGCTCCTTTTCCCTATCTCTGCTGATATTGTTTATTTTAAAACAGAAATAAACAAAGCAGCAACATTCTGACTGTACTTTCTGAGTAAAACACGAGCTTAGAGTAACCTCATTGCTGCCTTCTTGAAGGACAGATGGATACTTGATTGCTTCCATCAGCCTGAGCCAAGCGGTCTCCAGTGAAAAGCTTAGCACCTGCGCTTGCACTCAGATCATAAGGCTGTATGCCAGGAAAGTAGTAAATACATCAAAGCGTAATTCCCATTCACGTTAATATACAAACTAGAACTTCATACATACAGGTTGAATTCCTAAGAAAGGAACAAAGATGTTTTTTATACAGTCTCTGATCCCAAACCAAGAAGTAAGCCAGTAGGAATCCAATTAGCAATACATCACTACAGAACATCTTCAACAATTGTAGTGTCAAAAATTTGATAATAAACTTGATGTTTCTTTGCATCTCTGACATTATAGGACTTGATGAAGCATTCCAGCCATGGCGAGTCATCTACAAACAAAACCAAAATTATTATTTAATACTAATTTCTGTTTTTTATAGTATAATTTGGGCAGGATCTTTATTAGGATATCTAAATGTATACAACAATTAATAGGAAAATAAATTAATTACTAATTTTGAAATTCCAATTTGTATCTTAAAATTTCTCACATCATCTGAAACGGTATTCAGTGACAAATTCCCAAGCCTTGCTCTCCCCACCCCTGCACCCCCTTGATGCACTTGGTACCAGTAGTTGTACCTCAGCACAGCACATATAAAGACTTTCCACCAATAAAAACTCATTTCCATGTGTCTCGATAAGACAATTTTATTGGTCTCAATGGTAACATCCTTGACACCCTTCACAACAGGGCCACTTTTTACAGGTATGGTAAAGACTCCAGCATGGTTGTGGTGGTCACTCACAGCCAGTTGCTTAGAAGGAATACGTTCCAAAGACTGGAGCTGTGGCAGAGACATACAGCTACTTTGGGCATCTGTAGTTCATGCAGAGCTACTTTCTGCCACAACTGAAATACTGCACAAAAACCTCTGTGCTTGGGGTTTGGATTAAGTTTTTGCTCAATTTCCATGGATGTTTCCTGCAATAAGGGATGCTCTGAATCAGCTGAGTATTCCAAACTAGAACCTCACACAAAGCATGTGCCACGTGCCGAATTCCTTTTCAGTTTTCCCTAATGTGATGTGACAGTATGATTGTGTTCTGGTTATGAATACAAATGACATGTTAGTGCCTGCATAGGCATGACTGTATTCACACATCACTGCATGCTACATGAGAATTTACTGAACCATTGCTTTTGTTTCTCAAAAGGAAGTCCTACTATTATAGAAATGTATTAAGCAAATAACTGGAATTCTTCTTACCAGCTCCTGCATTTCTCTGTTCTGAGTTTTGCCCATGTGTAATATGAATTCTAAGACTTTGCATATGCAATCACAGATTGAAAGACCCTTTCCCTTCCCATTCCCCTTGTCAAATACCAGCAAGCTGACCTAATTTTCCTCCAGGAGGACAGAGCGCATTCATGATCATCTGCATCTTTTGCTGAAGAAAATCAGTAGTTAAGACTTCAGAGGCAGGAATTTTGAAGAACTTTTCCTGGAAGAGAACAGAAAAGTATGAGGTCTTGAAAGAAGGGTAAGAAATCATTAGCCAGAAACCTCAACGCATGGGTTTGATTTTTTTTTAATATAATTTATGGAACTTAAAATTATCCAGATAGGTAACACAACAGAACAATATTATTTCTAAAACTGCTCAGATACAGAAAAAACCCCGAACTGTCTGAAAAAATCCACGGTCTATATGTCAGTACCCCTGAGTATTCAGGGACTACAGCCACCCAGAGAGCACACGTATAACTGGCAGACATTCCTCATAAAACTCAACAAGCAAACAGTGCTACGGCCAGAGAAGACGCTCAGTCCTCCTCAACAGTCCCTCACTGCTGTGAGCAGAACATTTTGAGAGGAACAAAGTGACTTGAAAACACAGGGGCACTGCAACCTGGCTTCATATAAGTGGAATTCCCTTAGTGTGACTTTTATTTTTGGATAGTTTTAGAAACTATGGAGAAAGGCTTATACTGCAGGATACGTTTCTGAATGGAGGAGAAAGATAAAGAATGGAACGCTGAAATGCCAAATAAACCTTTTCTGTGTATTTTTAAACCATATACAGTAAACAGGACTCACAAAGTCCCATTTTATTTTTCCTAAGTTTGTTACCTGATTTTGTATCTCTGCTCAACAACTGATACCTTCACAAAGTGAGCTAAGGTTTTTTATGGTACTTTCTGGTTTTTGTTAAAAGATAGAAATACAGAATTATCTACCATTGTGTAATTTTTCTGTGACATGTTTTTTGGAAGTGATCACAAGTTAACAGATGATCCGGTAGCAAAACTGACAGACAACTACTTTTTCCTCTTACTCTTCCAATTTTTCTTCTGACCATAAAACTTTTAAATTCTTTTCCTTCAATGCCTTTTCCTATAAAGAGGAGAGGAAAGAAAAGAACTGAGAGCATTCTTACAGAAGCATGACTGGAAATTAGTGAAGTTGCACTTCAAAGTAGCCCAGTTCCTTCTCAGGTGGTGCTGGAGGACTCAAGTTTAGTCTTGCAAGGTATTGGCTTGGCTCTGAAGTGCCACCAGCAGGAAGGCTAGCAGCTGGACCTTCAGAAGAAACTGTGGTTTTACTTTTCCTGCAGCCAAGCTGTAATACTGAGCAGTATCTGATTAAGAATCTGAGCTACCCTGAAGTGGAGGTTTTTGGAATTCTGCATCAAGACATGGTTTAGAAATCTTTTCCCCCATTTCCTTTTGCAGTTTAGTTTTTCTACATGAAAAGGGAAAAGGAGAGCAGAAGGAAAGGTTGACTAGCTGAAATGGGGATTGCAGTCTTTGACCTCCTTTGCTGCTAATTCACCGTGTATTTTAAGAAAACATACAGGTTTTCCAAATATTATTTTTCCCTGCAGTCTTAAAACAAAGGGAAGACTATTCCTTTCAAAGTCTCATTCAAAGTCACTTAGTAATGGTGGAAAACTTGTAGATATATACACATTAATTAGCACTGTTGTGGAGGAAAAAAAAATCCCACTAAATTGTTTCTCTGTCCTATTTTGGACAAAGCTATAATTCTGATCTGCCACTATACTGATTATTTTCCATTTGTATAGATAGATTACTCCAAAGTGTATTGTGAGATCCTGGTATTCCCAACTATGACCTCCTGGAGTAAGAAAACACACAAATGCACTTATAGAAGGACAAAAGGAATAACGTAATGCTAATCTATTTTAGATTATAAATCTATTCTTTGACAAGCTCTTCTCACTTTTTTATTATTCCCTTCTTTAAAATTATTGACATACCATCTCAGAATTTAGGGTAGTAACTATAATGGGCATGTGCACGTCTGTGTAAAAACCAAGACAAACCAACCAATCAACCAGAAAAAAACCCAAAAGGTAAAACAAAAGAGAAAAAAAAAAAACCCAAAACAAACCACAAAGTACAGAGCAACAGATATTTCTACTGCACACAAACATGCATGTAAAGGAGTAAATTCACTAAGGAAGATGCCACACATATACAATTCATCTTCAACCCTAAACTGGAGATGTAGGAAGCAATGACCAGCTCTTGTCACTAAAAATTGCATTCCATGTATCTTCATTGATGGACAGTGTTAATAACATTACAGCACTTGCACTTGTCCCTGCAAAACACTGCAGGTAACACAGAATGAATATTTCTGTACATACATTTGTTATTTTGAAAACAAACAAAATCCAAAGCCACATAATCTGTAGAATCTACCTTTACCTATATTTACTTACATAGTCAAGAAGGTATGCATCTAGTGCTCCTGTTCCATCAACCAGTGTAAACTTCATAATAAAAACATACTGGAGTGGCTCAATGCCTAAAACTGAAGAAAAAAAAAAATAAAATCAGTTTGTTTCTTAGAATCAGTATGCAAGACAAACCGTAACAACTCAAGCTGACAATATTCTTCCTTTAACAGAAACTGACTTTGAAGACTGCCATTAAAAGTATAAATTGACAAGCCAAAAAAAATAAAGGCGCTGAATAGCAAGATGTGGTTCGTATTTTGAGAGTGCATTGCAATCTGCCTAGAAACACTTAAGAGATCAGTCTGTAAACACGTAGAAATTTTTTTAAAGTACTTACTCTCATCCTAGTAAAAGAAATGCTAATATCTGCTTAGATCTTAGATACTACCTTGGTAGGATCCTCCTACTCCTTTTATCCATGGAAGATTAAAGGAGACTTGTTCTTAATTCAGTGATAGTAAGATGCCATTCCACCTGAAAACATATCTTCTGAGGAAAATATTTCTTTCATATGATGTACTAAAAAATACCAGGCAAAGCCTTATTCAGAAAAACTGCTGGCAGTTCTGAAAATATTCCAGCATACATAAATGACTGTAGTCATTCTCTCACTGGCAGCAGTAACTGTCATGCTGCAAACATAAAATATCTTGAACATACAAAGTTACTGCAACTCTTCATCAGTCTTTTCTGGGTTCATCTAGTTAAATTGGCTAGTCATTTTATGTTCAACTTATCTGATATACTTGCAGTTTAGTCTGAAAACATAGATGATAAAAAGAATACTCTACATAAAATAGTATAAATGTAGAAATTATTTAATGAATATTGTTTTCATTTTGAGAATTAAATGTCAATAGCAGATGCTGTAACGCTGACAGTTATCTTTAACAAGCTTAAATACTGCTAGGTATTACAACTTAATATGTTAGAACATGAATGGATAAGTATGAGAATATTCTTTTTCTTTAACGTGAAGTTTTAATCTCCATTTTACCTCCAGCATTTGAATATATTGACTATATAAAGTAACAAAGCATGTAACGTGTTATTGTATAATTCCTTTAATTTAAATATTATTTCTTGCAGACTTGCTGGAATATGCTTAGGATCAATAATGCTTACAGAAGAAAAAAGTCTAATTTGCACTAGTCATTAAATAAGACTCTCTTTAGGTCAGAAAACCTGTATCTTCAAAAGGAAAAGCAAGACTAACTTCTAGGACTGCAAGTATGTACACAGTTTAAAAATGACATCTGCAACCAAAAATTCATCACATCTGTGATGTGCCACAATAGGTGTTACTAGGGACACCTATGGTAGAAGAAACTGTTTAACATGTAAAATCCTTTAAATAATACCATGACAGTTTCAAAAGGAAACATATTATTTCAGCTGGTAAAGATGAATAAATTTTACAGCTTCATGCTCAAGCATAATCATAAATGACATGCTTCCTGTACAAAACCGCAACCCAGAAACCAAACTATTTCATATAAACACTTCAGAATCAAGACACAAAAGTATTTCAGGACAGTATCATGTCAGCCAACCTTGTGCTATTTTAGTTGGTTCCCATGATGGCTGTCGTTCTGCTGCCATGGAACTTAGACTCTTCATAGGCTTTGGAGTTGAACATTGCTTGCACCTAGCATTTAAAACAAGATACTGAGACTAAGCAAACACCGATTTATTTATACTAGAAGCTTCTGCACAGAAAAAAAATTAAAAATAAAAATTCTGATTTTCTTACTCAGTGGGAGTGCAAAAGTATTTTTATTGCTCCTTTTGAATTACCCCTGCAGAGAAACAAAATCATTTTGGTGTGGAAAAGACCACCTCGGTGAATAGAAAGGAGGAAAACTGTGTATCTAAGGTGAGAGAGGCAGGGTTGTTCAGCCTGGAGAATAGAAGGCTCTGGGAAGACTTTAGAACAGCCTTCCAGTACCTAAAGGGCGCTTCTAAGATATGTGGAAAGAGGCTGTTTACAAGGGTGTGTAGTGATAGGACAAAGGGGAATAGCTTAAAACTGAAAGAGGGTAGATTCAGATTGGACATTAGGAAGAAATTCTTTGCTGTGAGGGTGGTGAGGCACTGGCACAGGTTGCCCAGAGAAGCTGTGGCTGCCCCATCCTTGGCATCAGTCAAGAGCAGGTTGGATGGGTCTTGGAGCAACCTGGTCTAGTGGAAGGTGACCCTGCCCACGGCAGGAGGCTCAAAACTAGATATCTTTAAGGTCCCTTCCAACCCAAACTATTCTGTGATTATAAGATCACTACATCACTAAATATACATTCATATGTCACTACTTTGCTGTTCAGCAATACAAACAACATCTCAGTTTGTAAAA